ACTAATCCTATAATTACACACCCTTTCCAAGTTCTATCCATCCTATGAATTATTCTATGTATGACATTAATTTGCTTTGTCAATTGACATTTAACTACGATTATAATCACAAACATTTTAGCTTTAATTGCATTTCATACTACTATTATTATTATTTTATACATTCACACCTATGATTCAATTCCCTCACCGGATATAACTTCTTAAAAGCCATGTGCATTTATACGATTGTACAGCTTGATGATAAATTCGTTGAAAAGAGTCTCTCCGCTGAATCAGCTATTGTTTTGATTTTCTATATGTTACAATGGGAATTTTCCATGATTTAAGATAATCACTACTAACAACAACACGATGCGATACCAACGAAAAAATGACGCAAGAAGACAAGAAGAGAAGACTGACTGTTGACTTGGAAAGCTTCTACTGTCTCGTATCAGCAGCGAGAATGATTGACAACGCTTGTGTATAAATATGCTTTAAATGACCTTGAGAGACACTAATTACATTGATAAATTGAAACAGTCAGCAACCAATATGATTTCAAAGGACACAAATTGGACGTGAGAGAAATAAAACCAGACATAAAAATGATGTGTCAAAGAAAAGAACATGAACGTGTCAAATGAAATTAGTTTCTTTTCTTCTTTGGATCAATTTGGAGACGTACTCTCTGGGATGTCTTGCTACTGGATCGTCTTCTGGGCTGAGCCTCCTTTGTTGTTTTGGGACTCCCGCTTTTGTACCTTCGTAGCGACTGAAGATAGTTTAAATGTATCAATTAAGAGATCTAGAGGTATCTGAGTGTAAGCGCAATATCGCTTGAAATTAAGTCACGCGTAGATAAAGGCTATCTCGATCCAGAACAAACAAGAAGCCGGTCACTGTTTCTACGGTACTATTAATTAACAAATAAATAAATATATATACAACAAACCTTAACGGTTTCAAGAGTACAATACACAATGCTTAACAGAAAGCAAGGAACCGCTATCAGAGCGGAATAACGTTAAAGCCAAAATTACGAACTAGCCGGATCAGACACGGCCGTTCAGGTAAGCAGTCAGTAGAAGAATGAACCCAAGTAAGAGATAGACAAAGCATAGGCACAAAGATAGAATTTTATTGGCTACTTAACCAATCAATAAATAAGATAAACTCGACAGAATAGTACAAAATAAGACATGGGTCAGCAAAATAACAGTTCACAAAAATACTCTGATTGGGTCATGAGTTCAACTGTCTGACTAAAAGGATCGAAGTAAAAACACACATACACAGTTAATTAAACAAGGTGGGATAGACACGTTGGGCATGGATAATTGTGTTGCAACAATGCTAGGCTGATCCGGGACAGATTGACTTGATTTAAGGATGGGGATTGAATTCATCTTACACTGAGGTTTTGATGACGTCCCGTGGCGCCGTCGTAATTAGTTTTTGTGTCTCATTCACTTCTGTTTCATAAATTACAATTCCATGTGTAACTTTAATCCGACCTTTAACTCATTTCGCTCTGCCCGGGTCATCCTTCAGAGAAGAAGCCGTATCACCATTACGATTATTTGGAGGTGATGGCAGCATCCATCCCATTAAAGTGTGTGGTGGAATTTTAGTTGTAGGCTTGGATGCATTATATCAATTAGGAGAAAAGACTTTGGGTGGTGCTGCAGGTGTCTTTGCCCTGAGCATTTTCGGTAGTGGTGCTACATTCGAAGATAACTCTGCAGAAGCTGGATAGGGTGCTGAAGTTGTGATGCCACCTTTTTCCAGTCTTTCCAGCTCAGCTTCTACTGGCTGATGTGAGGAGTACGGGACGGCACCTTTTAGACGAAAAACTGGTGTGACTTTTGGTCATAGCACAGCTTTCACGGTTTTGCAGCATCTTGTTTCTGGCTAGAATAAAGCCTTGAATTCTTGTAGGGAACTCCAGGAATGTCTCGCTTCAACTCCCTTGCATATATTGTTGAGGGGGAATTCCAACAGCCATAGGCTTTCAAACCAATCCAAACCCAATAAATCCACGTTTGCATTATTTACCAAGCATGTACCGATAAACTGGATCTCACGGAACCCGACGTTGCACTTTAACTGCCCAGTCAAAAAAGATTTCCACCACATGCACTGACTGCTACTTGGTCTGTCGTCTTTACAGTGGGGAATCCCAACTTTCGCCATAACTAATTCGGTGTTTCCGTTATGTCGGATACCGTGTCTGTTTGCAGACGTGCAGGCTGTGAGTTGATTTCTACCTCAATACATTTAGGCTGAGCGGATGTGGCGATGTGAAAAGCAGTTGTGATGCTCATAGCTTTCTGTTATAGACGTTGACATGATCACTTTCTGGACTCTGTTTGGCGAACCTGCTTACAATATCCACCTTTATATCCATTGATGTAGCATCACCGAAATTTATTGTTTTTGTAGGAGCATGATTTGACACAGTTCCACGCCCCAAGTTGCCAGCATGCTGAAGGCGGAGTCTGCTGTGGAAGATGCGGTGGTTTTGATGTCAACGTCAAATCTGTATATATCAGTGTCAAACTTTAACAGTGAATGGAAGACGTGCAAACTACAGAGAAAAAAGAGTTCCTTCTAAGTAACACATAAGACTGACTACTAATAGCTAGCAATAAAACACGGACTGTAGGCAAATGACTTAACACAGATGGATGCCTAACATCAGACCTTCAGTAACGTGCTTTATCACGTAGCTTCACCAAAATATTCTACACGTCCTCAATGAAATCGAGATTAATCGGCTATGTGAGTGAATGCCTAATTCGCGTCTTGTATTATTATTGCCTTGGATTCCGAGTGGAATATGCGGCTTCATCAACACTTCTGCATTTAATCCTGTTCCCTGAAGTCCTTCCTAGTTGGTTCCATGAATGCTCATAAGCTGTCTCCTCCTTCTCACACCATTTCCTCCATGCCAACGTCATTCGTTCTCCACTCAATATGTGAGAATAATATTCCGTGAGAACACATTGTCTGTAACAGGTCCACAATAGAAAACTCAGCGAGGCGTTTCAAGTTAATTCGGGAGTAAGACAAGCTGGCTGCCTATTATCACGGACGATATTCCTGATTGTGGTGGACTGGATTATGTGTCAGACTGTGAGGAGCGATAAGTCAGAAATAATCTGGATGGACTCAAGGAAATGTGGATTTCTAATGTAACAAAAACTCGAAGACTTGCAGGCGAAAACCAAAAAGTTGGCAGAAGAAGCAAGCAGTGAGGATACAACTTCAAGTGAACATAGACAAGACAGAGTTCATGAAGATAATCAATCAACCAAAAACAATGACAAACATCGATCAGTGCCAACAGAATAATTTTGAAGGTGGTCACTTCCTCCGATTATCTAGCCAGCGTCGATTGAAATACAGACACACACCAGGGATGAAGATGTCAATACCTGGATCAAAAAGGCAAGATATGCCTTCATCAACCTAAAACCAGTGTGGAAATATTCTACACCATGCAGCGTAAAGAAAAAGATTCGGGTTTTCAACACAAATGTTAACACAAATGAGTTAGAAACTCGCACTACACGTGCATCACGAAAAGAATTTCCAACGGTTTAGTGGGCATTTTCATCAATAGCTGCCCCTTTCTCTGGCTCGCTCCATACTGAAGATCAAATGGCTAGCCGGCCGTCCAGAAAAAATTATCAACAAGAAACTCCTCAATGGAACAAATCAATCAATGTAAGGAAAAAAATGGAGATGGGCTGGGTACAAACTGAGGAGGCCATTGAATGATGTCGCGCGCAATGCAGGTCATCGCTCAAGTAGAACTCGACCCGAATGGGAAACGACGAGTTATCTGTGGGTCCGAGAATGACATGGAGGAGATCGTGCGGCAAAGAGGAGATGACAGATGATGGGCAAACATGGAGCCGGCTAAAGATTAGCACAGGAAGTAGAACAATGTGGAGGTGTTATTAGATAGTTAGAGGCAATCGGCAGGAGGCCTTAGACCTAGGTTTCGTGCTAGTTGTCACTCGTCAGCAAGGCGTATCTGCAACCTTGAACGAACGCATGTCCCTTCTGAGATTAGAATTCGCGTCACCCAGTGAGCGCTGCAGTCAAAGAAGTTACCATTGAAGGGACATGAGTTCCTTCAAGGTTGGAGACACGCCTTGCTGACGAGTGCCAACTAGCACAAAACCTAGGTCCAAGGTTTCCTACCGATTGCTTACAACTATATAATATCATCGAATCAATGTGAACCGTGATGGCGACCTACCTAGAATGGTGGCCACATTGCAACCCTGACTAATAGAATTCAGTCTACACCAAAGAAAGGACTAGACACGCCACACTAGTTACTAGTGTCCAATCAAATGTGGAGATGTGTTATTGAAGCCATATATTCCACTTTGAACCCAAGGAAACAATAAAAATAGTACATAAAATCGGGTGTCGGAGAGAGCTAAATCGTACTGTTGGCAGATAAATGTCAAATTACACTAAGGTATATTTTATTTCTGTGTTTATTCCGACTCGAAATATCATGATTAATTCTCATCTGATTATCTTTCTCCTGGAAATTTTCGTCTATTGTTGTTTCACTGTATTTCTCTCCTGTTCTATTTGTGTGTGTTTTCACGAAATGCGGTCAGTTGAACCTGATGTCCATGCTAACACATAACATTATTTCATAATCATAATAAACTCAGTCAGAAAGGTAACAAAATAAACTGGTAGCGACAACCTGAACAATGAGAATTACTCTAATTCTGTTGGGAAAATGAATGTGATATATGATTGGCTGATTTATTTGAATATATATATATATATATGTCTTGCCTATCAGTAGCACTCAAAATGTTCAATGTTGAATTCGTAAATCTGTTGACATTAGTCATTTAAACAAATAATTAACACACACGTACACACACTCACACTTCATTGTAATTACTTTAAAACAAAAAAATACAGGGAAAATTTGCGTCAACTTAAAAGAGGAATTACTTAATTTTCATTGCAAAATGAAAGAAGCCTTAAATCGGATGCAATGTCATAGAAAAGCATGGAAATGGTAAGTTGTTTCTGAACATGCCTTTGTTTTCGTGGTCAAGTTCACTTTTAATAGTTTGAAAAAAATTTGAGCATTGGGTATATGAATTTTATTGGTGGATGGTGACTAGCAGTGGAATCTAGAATGGGCACTTTGTCCTATTTGGGACTCGTCATCTGGATGTACCTGCATTCCCCAGTGTGTGATGATGTTCCCATTGAGGCTCGAACCTAGTGCCGACATGTCAACCTGAGACAGAGCACTTCGGTCCAATCAATCTACGGGAAAATCTAAAATTCAACTGGGTATATGATATTCAATATTATAAAGCGCTTCTGTATTTCCCAGTGAATGAATGAAAAACAAAACGATATTATTGTTTTTAATGAAGTTTCGCTATTTAATGCTGTTGCTAATAGCTTTATCAAAGTAGCTATATTAAACCAGAATTTTCAAAATCCACTCAGCTCATAAATATATACGTAATCATCGTTCCTCAGCATGGGGTCATTTTGCGTTGCCGTCAACTTGGCCGGTTGGTAAAGATAACAAAACCAGGTGTAAATGACTGTTGGATTTGATAAGTGTGTAAAACTGTACAAGTAACGTGTGTTTACATAATGAAAATGTTCATCACATTCATGTTGGTTTTGTCACTTCATGGGGAGAGAGGGGGGTGTTGTAACCAGGTCAATTGACCAATTTGACAACGCAAAAATGACCCCATTCTGAGGAACGATGATTAAGTTGCTGTACATATAAGCTGAGTGGATTTTGTAAATTCTGGTTTAATAATACTACTTTGATAAAGCTATTAGCAGCAGCATTAAATAACGAAACATCAGTAAAAACAACAATACCGTTTTGTCTTTTTCATTCATTCATTGGAAAATACAAAGAACCTTTATCATTTACATTTATGTTGATGTATATAAAAGAGAACTGCTTCTTGCGGATTATTGATCTGCTAAAATAATTGGTGTGTACAAAAAGAAAGATCAGCAGTTAACTGTATCATCCTAGTGTACATACGTCAAAAAGCGTCAAGCGTGATCGAACCTGATGACGATGAGAAAATGAATTTCGACCCAGTGGTTAAATGTAAACTGCGTTGTGTTTCTATGGCTTTAACCTAACCCCCTACCCCTGATATAATGTAAATTAGCTTTTCCCTTGATTCTATGAGTTGAGTTCAACTTACCACAATGTTACTCAACTTATTAGTTACTCATCATCTTACTCAACTCTTGTCTTTATTACGTAACTCCCTCGCCATTGAATGTGTACAGTGATTTTTGTTTAAACTTGAACCCTCTGAGTAAAATTAATGTAATTTCTGAGCACTGTTCATCATGTCTGAAGCCTCCCGTCAACTGATAGCATGGTAAAAATTATTCTGTACCTAAACTTAATCAATTCCTTTAGGCTGTACGCAGCTGATGAGAAGCCAGCGAAATAAGCAATGATGGTACCATCATATTCTGTCCATATAGTTGTTGTTCTGGTTTTATTCAACATCAATTTATACGTTACAGCTGTATGGGAGATAGGTCTTGAACTTGAATATCTGGTGACATAGGTTCCAGTGTCGAGGGGGGGGGGGGTCGCTGTCTTCAAGTTTGTAGACATGCTTTGCTGATAAGTGCCACTAAGCACGAAACCTAGTTTGTTGGGATTCCTGTCGATTTCATCCAACAGTTTGACATCTATTCAGCTTCCAGTTTCTGCAGTATCTTTGCGGTTGACGAAGCAGATGTGTGATATCACTTAAAAGTGTTAAGGTTATTATTACCATTATTATTAGTAGTAGTATTAGCAATTCCATGTTGGCAGTATCTTGATACTTTCAAGGAGTTCACATTTCAAGTAAATAATAATCCGTAGTATTTCTTTTAAAAAATGATCAGCATTCACATTAATCAGAGTAAAACTTGTTTACTATGGTAATACAGTTTTCTGGCTACCGTATTGTGATATATCACATTAAACTATTGTTATTATTCCCTTGGGTTTCACGTGAGACATACACCTTCAGCAACACATCTTTAGCTGATCTCACGTTTACCCATAATCCCACATCTCCTTCTCGCACAATTTCCTCCATGTCATTCTCAGACTCACGCACAACTTGTCGTTTCTCACTGGGATTTCACTTGAGTGATGGCCTGTATTAGGAGCGACGTTATTCAACGGCCTCCTCTGTGTATATCCCACTCAGCTTCATTTTCTCCCATATATTTGTTGATAAGTAGGTTCTTGGTTGGTTCGTTCCACTGAGGAGTTTCTTGTTGCTAATTCTTTCTGGCCAGCCACCTGGTCACTTGATCTTCAGTATGGAGCTAGCCAGTGAAGGTGGTAGCTGTCGATGAAAATCTGCATTAACCTGTTGGAAATAATTTTCGTGACTCACACGCAGTACAAGTTATTGTTCATAATCGTATCATCGATCGTAAGTACACACTACTCCGAAATTTTCCAGATGTCCGGGTTGACAGGTGTTGAATCATTCCTACTGCAGACACGTATTTGCAGTTGATTTATCAATCTCTCCCTCCACCCTGCTGCTGAATTAGATTTTAGAACTGTCATCTTATCCCGTCATCCTATTGTATGATTGGTTGTGTGTAATTGCATGTAGTGAGTGCTATAGCTGAACTATTTTCCAGATTTCTTATCTTATTTGGGTCAACTAAACTAGATTTTGCTTGGTTTACGTGCTCCACTAGTCTGACTGCACCTGTTCTACTACTCTGACTTATGTACTTGACCTGGCAGTCATTGACGCTGGGTATTAGAGAGAAGGAGAGATTGATAACGGAAGTTTTGTTTATCGAATCAACTGCAAATACGTGTCTGCAATAGGGATGATTGAGCACCTGTCCGCCTATTCGGACAACTGAAAAATCATACTACCTCTACGACGACAAATAAGAAAGAATAAAGAAAACTATAAAACTCAAGTTTTGAAATCGTGTGATTCTAATTGATGATACGGTTATGAACAATAATAAATTGGGTTCAAAACTGCGTCATCTATTAAATAATACTGTTTCACACTGTGTGACATATCTAATAAACATATTAATATGGATCTTACCAATAGCATTTCTTAAGTATTCATCACCAGAAACAGATTGAGCACTGAAATTTGACAGAATGAACTTAATTTACCATTTAGTATAGAACATACTGGGAAAGTTAATCGTTGTTTCCTTAAGAAGTCTAAAGTATACAGGCCATAGATAACACTTGATTATACAGAAGTCTAAAATTCAAATCCAACTAAAACTACCCAACGAATATGAACGTGTGTGAGTAAAACTACAATTGCATTACTAATTTATTTTGTTTTACTAGCAACTTTCACCAGAATGCAGGTACATCCAGTTGGCGAGTCCCAAATAAAACGAAATGCACGTCCTGGATTTTTTTCATTCTAGCAGTGGCTAGACATTATAAAACAAAATAACATCATAATATTCGTCAAAGTGTTGGAATTAGAAGCTAACATGCCAACAGAGGCTGAGAATTTCGTTCTAACATAACCGATCAACAAGAAATACAAATAAACGTTTCACTGTACACAGCTGAGTGTCTAAGGATTTTTCTTTTCAGAAAAAACGGCTACAAAGTTCAGCATATGATGGAGAAGATTTGTAGCTCAGGTTGATGATTTTGATGTGGTTGTGTACTCTGAGCTGGATGGTTTATTTATGAAGCTTTCATTGCCCTACTAGGTAACATCTTCAGTGAAAACTTCAATTCAAAGTGAGCTTTTTATACCCAACAGCAAAAGAGGATAAAACCAACATCATGTACAAAATAATTTGCAAAGAATATGAAAAACGCTGCATTGGCCAAAGTGGACGTCCTCTTCGTCTTCGTTTCCATAAACATAAGCCAGCTGTCAAAGGACATGACATCCCCTCTCTCATATCGCTGCATACACATAACCACAGATATCGATTCGACAGAGGAAACACTAAGAACGCTAGAGAATTTTTAGAAGCCAGCCTGGTATTTCAGTGAATCGTCAATCGGAGGACACACTGACATAGACAAAATCTAACAATCGATAAGAAGAGAATCTCACACACGAAGGGTCAAAATTCAGGCCAAGGAATCAACCAACGCCGATAGCAATACAAGTAGCCTAGAGGATGTGAAAACACGCGAAAAGAACCAACCACGATGTTCAAGGTCAGATCACTAGGACAGACGACTAATAAACTCGTGAAGAAATCTAAAGCACACTTCAACAAAATGAAATATGATGCACTGACGTTATTGCTTAGTAGGGGAGCAATGAAAGCCTCACATTAACCATCCAGCCACTTCAGAGAACACAACTACATCAGAAAGTAACTTTTAATCTTAACCTCATTAGCTGGTTCATATGAACTTCATTCATATCTCTTCCTAAAACATCTCTTATCACTTTAATTAATTAATAATAATTTGCTTTATTCCAAAACAGTACTTGTGACACAGAATGGAATTCTCAGCATTTTTACTACAGTATTGCATCCAATTAGTACATTATCAATAGATAGAATTCTACATGGATTAAGGAAATCTCAGTTCATTATAACAACAACATATTGGCATGTCGGTAGCAAAGCCAAAGTTGAACTGTGTTTGAAGGTGTTAGAAAAGTAGGTGCTATCATATTTACTGGCGTAAGCGAGAGAAAGAAACAAAGCAGCACATAACGGAAAAAAACAGAAAGAGAGAGAGAGAGAAAAGGAAAAGAAAGAAAATTTTGTACCTGTAAATGATGTGAGTTGGAAAGACGAGGTCCAGTTGTTCTACTGACTATTTAATGAGTTATAGGTATCACGCCTAATGCTTTCTTTATCACACAGAACACGAGCTAAGTAGCGTATGGTTGAGTTTTTGTACTTACTGGTGCGAGCATATAGTTTTCTATATAAGCTTCTGGTTTTACCTGATGAGATGCAAGGAGAGAGTTGTGAGTGAAGAGAGTGGTGTGAGTTAGATAAAATGGATTTGACCCATTTTTCACATGAGTCCAAGTGCCTATCAACCAGAATATTAACAAGCTGGTTAAGTGGCACATTGCTTACCCTACTGACAACCTTTAACATCCTGCGTAATATGTTATAGTCTTTTTTCAGTAGCCCGGGAAAAACTAAGGGGGAACAATATAGAATAATAAGCAGAATGTGAGAGTTAACGAATTGTAGGAATAAGGGTTGGGTTGGGTTATACCAGAATGTTTTAACTTCTTGATGTAGAAGGTAAGACGGAATATTTTCTTAGATTCACCAAGATATGAGACGACCAGGAGAGATCAGCAGATAGAATGAAGCCTAGGTATTTAATTTCCGATTTGGTTTCTATCTCAGTGCCATCTATGTTGCACGCCTCGTGAGAGCCAACCAGTTTGTTTAGGTTGGATATATGCCTAAAGGTGAAATTGACTGTTTGGCATTTGGAGGGGTTTAAGGTAAGACCGTTTTCCTTGGACCACTGGCTGATTTCTGACAGAAAGCCATTTATAATTTGGAGCAGTCACTTTGACATTTGACCGGCAAAGATACAGTCAGGTCGTCAGCATATTTGACAAAATCAATGCCATTTGAAGATGGTAAGTCAAGTAGAAAGAAAGAAAAGAGAAGTGGGGAGAGTACAGCACCTTGGGGGGCAGCAGCTTCAGTGAGCGCTGTCAGTCGATAACTAACAGATAATACCATTCTGTCCTGTATGCAGTTCACTTTCGTGCTACTACCTCATTTCTACCAAGTAAGGAATATTAGTCATTATTATTATCATCATTAATAATAACAGTAACAAAACAATAGGATAATTAATGAGAAACTATTAAGGAGAATGACACAATTGAATTCACAACATAAAGTATCCATGCTTAATAGTGAGAGTAAGTGAAGGAAAAGGGGAAAAGTAAACTGTTTTTTCCTTCAATTAGTTAGTTAGCTAGTTATTTTGAATTTTTGTTTGACATATTCTCCGTCTATCCATCCATCCTCTTTTACCCCTAACTCTCCCTCTTTCTTTCTCTCTGTCTCTCTCCTCTTTCAGGACATTCCACTTGTTTGTCTTTACGATTTGTATCATTTTACTGGTCTATCGAACATCGGAATGGTTACAAGCTTATCATTTATTATTAAACGATCATAAAGTTAATCGACTGAGTGATTACTTTTTACACCACTCAAATTTCAATGAAGTCAATATGATCAGTGATCACACTACTCCTACTACTGATATCAGTAATAATAGTAATAATAACCATAATAACAAGAACACTATTAATCAGCACAAGTTTGTTGGAAAAACAAACAGTGATGTAAAAAAGGATAAACAAAATGCTACAATTATTCTATGTAACATTAATCCAATAAGGTGAGTGTTATTCAACTAAAAAAATTGTTCAATGTTTCATTTTGTTCTGTTTATCTGTCATCTTGTCTTCTGTGTTTGTAGTATTCAATTATCACTCGGTTTACTTGTATGTATTGAAGGGAATGTTCTAAATTACGACAGTATTTCTTTTTTTGGGTGGGGGGGGCATTCTACTTCAAAAGAAAATCAGCGACCATTATCAGAGGTGTGTGGATCTATAGATTATTGATCAATAAACTTTTAGTGGACCTATCTACCTATAGATATGGTAGGGATCCGTTCCATTAGGGCTGGCTCAGTGGTATGTAAGGTCGTCTTGTAGTCTGAAAGTGCTGATTTAGATCCCTTTTGAAGCTCTAGCCAGTTTTAAATGGTTCTCGAAAAAAGGTTAATTGGAATCACTGAAGTCACTACAAACAAACGCTTGAAAATTAATCTAGTGCTCAGTAATGTGACTGACAACGGAATGAAGTTGGCTGGGGTTTAGTGAGAAGTCCTGCCCAGTGCCGTCTACAAAGTCGTATGAAAGGAAAGATATTCACCAACGATATTGACTGGCAGTTCATGGAAATTATGCCTGATGGGTCATTGAATGGTCAATGGACTTGTCCCGTAACTTGATGACCTTAGGTTTTAGTACTGGTGGGTTTGTGGGTGAGTACTACTGAAGAGTCCCAAACTATGACGAAACGGCTTCACAGAACTCCTTGGCTGGCTTTCATTGGCTCTCTAAATGAAATCAATTCGTTCTCAAAATTTATAGTAGTATAAGATACTCAGAAAGTATATTAAAATTAATTAAAATAATGAAATATTAGGGTCACGGAATATACACATTTGATCATAGGGAATAAAAAGACAGTTTTGGCGAAGAAACTTTTCTTTTCGACGAAATCATCAACTAGACACGGCTGTACATTCGTGTATTTATACTACATGGGCAAGAAAGTTCCAGAATAATTTCTGGCCAAGGGTCAGATTAATAGAATTACAATTAGGAATTATAATGCCATAATAAACAGGGGAGGGACGGATAAAGCCCAGACAAAGTAGCATGATAATTACTGAGAAGATCGACATATTATGCAATTAGGGGTTAGAAATGTAGAAATAACAACAATAGACAGAATGTTTGGATAAAAAATATAGTGGGATCATAACTAATGTGAGGAATAATTGTTTATGCAGTTGGGGATTAAATATGTAGCAATAATAAAATAACAAAATAGACTGGAAGTTCGGATATGAAAATATGGTAGTGTAAATAGGAGAGATTAAGAGAAACATAAAAATAACATGAATAAACAGGAAGTTTGGATAAGAAAGTCAACGAGATAGTCACTATTAGAAGATTTACCTGTTTATGATGGCCACGGCAGGGACAAGGGTTGGACGTATTTCTTTTGGATACATAGCGTGGGTTTGAGCTTTTGGATAGCTAGTGCCTCGGCTATGCCCAGATGTCTTAATTTTACTCCCTTTGGTAGGTTTGATCGAATCTTATATATCATTTTGAAGGAATTTTCGAATGGCGCTGAATCTCCTGAATTGACCAGATGTTCTGTCACTGAGTTATATACACGTTTTCGCTCTAATTTTACTAGCCAGGCTGGATAGTGTTCACGAGAGCGTTTTTCCAGTTGGCGCACGAGCTCCGCACGTGCAAGTAACTTAGTGTATGCACACTGAATTGGCCCAATGCGATAGCTTGTCTTTCGCTTTCTGGCTGAACAGTTTCTTGCAGGAAAACGTCAGTCGTAGGCTCACGGCGAAGTATGTCTTCCTCAGAGATTTACAGAGGCGTTTATGAAGGATTTCTGCTTCACAGAGTCACCTTTGAATTCTAGATTAAGCAGAAGTATCCTCTTCGGGACAGATTGAACTGTTTTGGAAGTCTTTTTTGATTTGAGGTCCTTGTCTATGAAGCTAGGCGGAAAACAGTTTTCCATCAGGGTTCTTCGAAGATTACCCAGTTCTTCATCAATCACCTCCTCGTTGTATATCTTCCAAATACTCGAGGAAAGAGCGTATATCAGGTTCCTCTAAATATATTCAATTTTCGGTCAAAAGTGAAATCAATCAAGCTGCTACAAACTAACACTTGATGATTAATCTAGTGGTCAGTAATGTTACTTACAAGAGTTTGAAGTTGCCGTGAGTTTTAGTAAGAAGTCCTGACCGGTGCCGTCTACAAAGTTATGTGTTAGAAAAGATGCTAATTGACGATACTGACTGGCAGCTGACGGAAATTATGTTTGATGGGTTATTGAGTTCCATTACAAGTAACTGAATGGTTAACGGAATCGCCGCGTAACTTGAAGATCTTAGGTTCGAGCACTGATGGGTCCATGGGTGGGTAATACTGAAGAGTTCCGAACTAGAGCGAAACGGCTATACAGAACTCCTTGGTTGGTTTTTGATATCTCTTGAACTGAAATCAATTCGTGCTTAAAATCCATAGTGATACAAGATACTCAAACAGAATATTAAAATTATTTAAAGTAATGAAATATTACAGCGTACAGTTACTTTAGGGTACAACTTGGTCCATTTGGCACAAACTGGGTATGAAAAATTCACAGGTCCATGAGTCGTATGATTCGATGATTCTTCTCCATTCCACTAGAGGTTTATCAATCTGGTCAGTGATTATTCTTTGAAATGAGGACTTGAATTTCTCAAAGGTTTCAAAAAGGTATGATCAGTTGTTAGAAGTGGCAATCAGGCAGCCACGGGGGGAATAGAGAACATGATGTGTGAGCGAACATGTGTGTATTGTTGTATTTTTGGAAATTGTACAGATGAGATAAATAAAGGTTTCTTTCAAAATGAGGGTTAAACATGGTGTTCTGATAGTAGAAAGAAATGTCATCCTTAACTCTTAATAGAGAAACCAAACAAAATCATATTTCCACTCTACATAAACGATAATAAAAATAATATAAATGCAGTTTTAGGGCATGTGGTAGGATGTTTTAATTCATAAATAGTCTAACGTTAATTTAAGGCAGGAGTAAGACAAGGCTGCCTACTATCTTCATTGATTTTCCTGATTGTGGTACACTGGATAATGAGACAGACAGCGGAGGGCAACGAGGGGACAGGCAAAAAATGAACCTAAACAAAAAATACTTGGAGGATCTAGACTTCAATATATTAAATATTCCCATAGTAAAATTTAGAACAACAAATTTAAGCGAATAATATAGTTGTTTTCAATTGGATCTCATCAGGCTTAAATCGAATATATATAAGTTTACAAATAAATACTTAAACATATACCAATTATGGTGTTTTGCCTGTAGGATAAGATTGTGCATATGAATTGTGCAATTAGTCATAATACTAGTAATGATAACAATAATAATAACAGTAATAATAAAAATGGTCTTATCAATAATAAGTATGAAAAAGTGAGGCAATCTGTGATAACACGAGTAATGAAAAAACAGCATGATCTAGACTTCGCCATTGACATTTATGTTTGATTTCACACAAACTGGAAGATATGCAAGTGAAAAGCAACAAGTTGGCAGAAGAAGCATTAAAGACAGGACTTCAGGTGAAGACAGAGAAAACAGATGTGATGCAGATTCCTAGCCAACACCATTAGCAACAACAGCAGACAACAATCAGCGTAAATGGAAGAAATCTGAAAGCAGCAACCTCCTTTACCTACCTACCTACCTAGCAAGGAAGCATCGTTTCAACTACAGGTGGACAGGACTGATGAGGATATCAAAGCAAGCATGGGGAAAGCAAGGCAAGTTTTCATTACTCTCACCAAGTCTGTGTGGAGGAGATCAGCAGCACTCAACATGAAAATGGAAATAAGATCCGGATTTTCAACTCCAATGTGAAATAAGTGCTACTTACTATACGGATCAAAGACTTGGCCAGTTAGTTACGAAGGGCACTTCGAACAAACTACACACCTTCATCAACAGCTATCTTCGCTCAATGCTACTCACTACCAGATGGCCGGCCAGAGAAGATCAGCAACAGGGATCTCTGGGAACGAACCAAACAACCCAGCAGGAAGCAACTGTGCAACAAATATGTAGGAAGAAATGGAGGTGAATTGGCCATAATCTGAGGAAACAAATCATCGTGTAACATCATTTATCAGGCTGTTACTCGTGTGGAATCCGAATGGTCGTTAGTGCGAGTGTGGGGTGACATGGAGGAGCAGGTTATGCGAAGAGGAGATGAAAGCATGTGGGCAGACGTGGAGCCAGGTGAAAATGTTGGTGGAGAACCAAATCCAGTGGAGACGAGAAGCTGAATCCCTATGTTCGTCTAGGAACTAAAGGAGACAATAATATAATATAATACGTTAATTTGAACTTCGTGTCGATGAATTACATCTAACTGAAATGCTCCGTTTCTGTTGACATATGCACTTCAAGTAAGAACGCTTCGACGGTGTATGAGGATTAAAAAGATGCTACATTAGTTGACAATGGCCAGCAGTGAAATCCAAGATGCGTATTCTGTTCTACCTAAAACTGTTCATTTGGATTCATCTGCTTTCTAAGTGACTGCTGATTTTGGAGACAACTGATACCTGTTGCCCAACAGGTAACTAATATGGCTTTAATGGCCCAGTGGATATTATTTGGACGTTTAAAACGATATGTGTAGAGTTCTAGTCTCAAAAGAAACACTAACACTCACTGGAGAATGCAGGTACACCCACCTGATTGCCCCCGAATAGGATAAAATGTACATTCTTCCATTCGTTGTCAGTCTTCACCAGCCATTTCAACTCCGTACCAACCTATGGTGTGATTGTGTGTTAATTTGGCTCAGCAATTGCACTACATGCATCAACACACAACCATACAAAAGGGGGGGGGTGAGGGTTAATATACTAAAAAGTAATACAGGTAGGTGAAGAGAGTTTAATTACTCAATCTTTGTTCACAGAATCTACACCCACCACATGCAATAGGAATGACTCATCACTCATACCAGAAATATGAAAAATATTACTATTA